TATATATATATATATATATATATATATATATATATAAACTCATCGAGGTGTTGGGAAGGGAAGTGTGCAACTTCAGATCTCGGACTGCTACAAAATAGTGGTCCATTTATTATACTTGAAGTAGTAAAGGTCATTCAGATAGCGCTCTCATGACGTCTTGATTCCATGACGTTCATTTCTTCCGGCTTTCCATGAGAACCAGGAATATAAATGGTCTCTGTCGTATGATCGATATTCCATTGTCGAGCACAGCACGTTTATTTATTAGTGTAGTTATTACCACAAGTCATCTGGTGGGTGATTGCGGTAGTGGGGCATACTTACTTGTGCCATGCAAATCGTTCTTTACTTTTTGAATCACGAAATCGTTCTTGATCTGCGTAATGCTGATAGTCCTGGGACATTAACAGAACGGTTGGTAATAAGTTTACTTTTGCTTCCGTATCTGGTGCTCTGCAAGTCTGTCGGTATGTGCACACGAATGTTTATGTATGTCTGATTTGAACGACCTTTCTACAATCTTTTAACTTTGGATTGACAGGTTTTGCCTTGTACTGTTTCCATCCTCACAGACGTTCAACTGTAACCAATGTTGTGAATTGGTTTTCAACAACCTCATCGCTTTCGATGATATGCACATGAAGCGCATGGGTGTGGCAATCATTTCCATCCTGGCGGCCGAGGTAAGCCTATTCAGAACCAACTTATTCCCGGACTTTCCCATGTTCTTTATACGTTCTCCTTTACATTTAGTCTACTTATAACGATGGTTTACAATTTTTGCTTTGTTCTGTTTAAAAGCATGCATCTGTCAATAACAGATCGCAGTCTGGCGAGATTAAGGTATGGTGCAATGTGACTCAGCTCCACGTTAGGCATTATGACACTGAGTGATTTGAAAGTGCACACCCGCATCTGAACTGGAATCCGTACTTTCGGATGGAATAACTTCAGCTTGATTACTCATTTCTGAAAATTTGCATCAACGGTTGCAATTGGTCGATGGGTCGATTTTTATAAGTTTATACTTTACTGACATCTGTACACGTTTCATTTGGCTTTCGGCACGAAAACCATTTCCTTGGAATTACTTGCTTGTTACGGGATCGCTTTTGAGAAGTACGTTTTCTTAAACATGGTATCAACGTCGAATTGCTGAAGCCTCTTATGGTACCTCGGGCTCAGAATCATAATGTCCTCTATTGCTTTACTCTTCAGATGCAATCAGTTTCAATTCATTTAGACATGCCCTTTGGAAATTCACCTCTGTACCTCATCTTGCAGATTACAACGGCCGGTCTATCCGAGCTGGCCAGAGACCGTAGACGCATTCAATGTTTGTTGGCCTACATTGCGGAGAAATGTTTACTCATAACGGACTTGAACGATTTGGGTCCAGTGATCCCGAACTATTTGAGTCAAGTACGCCTACGCGCTGAGGGTACACCAATTTTCGATACAACCTTGCGGTTCACGTTGTCTGCGCTGTGGAATTTGACCGATGAATGTCCGGAAGCCTGTATGGGGTTTGTGGAAGAGTGCGGTCTTCGTATTTATGAGAAAGTGCTCAAGGTAAACTTATTCTCACTATCAGGATTGCTCAGTTAAATACACCACTCTTCGTATCGTTTGTTTATTTTATTAGTTTCGGTGAATCAATTGACTGTTGATTGTAAAATGTGCAAAGAGCAGTTGTGAGACTGGCGCAGGTGTTTTTGGATTAACTGGCTAAAATAATCCAGCCCTTTGGTATGCACTTTGCACCCACAAAGCGTAAGGTCGTGCTCGTGGACATTGTCACTGAACACGCGATTTACAATCCAGACGGAGACATTCGAAGTTGTGGAGCGTTTTACTTATCTTGAAAGTTGTATCAGTCCTGGTTGTATTTTGACAGATGAGGTCAATACACGGATCTGCAAGGTTAAGGGCGCGGTTGCCTAGTTGAAACAGTATTGGTAAAGACTTTTCGGGCAGACATCGTCAACATGCTTTTGAGTCAGTATTTTCTCTCGCGCTTGCGTTTATGTTCTATAAGAGCACCTAGCAGGTCTGATGTGACTGGTTAGTTGAGATAGCCCTTCCGTTAACAAGGTTGATCAGTTTTTAGTCTTTACACGTCGTAATCTGAGTTTGTTGCTTTGACTTGGTGCGTTGGATACATTCATCTAAGTAGCTTCGTTCTGCTCCCTTTGTGATTTTTTTGGATCGTGATTCATCTTTCATAAGAGCGATAAATGACTATCTATTTTTAGTGACTTTTGTTTGGTCTCCTTAGTCCATTCGCTTTTTCTGTTAAGTTGTTGCACGCAATCGTGTTCCTCCTGCTCTTCATTTACGGAAACAAGCCAGAATTAATCATGTGCTTTAGCGGCAGTTTGGTAGAAGCCTGCGCAGAAGCCTGTAGAAGCCTTCTGTGTTTTTGTTGCGGGTTCCTCCACTTGTTCATTTATCCGTTCGACCTCTCTTGGCTACTTTCATCTGAAATATTCTTTCGTAGCGTGGACGATCTGGACTGGTTGCAACAGATCCAAAAATGAAACGTTCTGATTCTTCTTGCCTGTCACTCATGGAATGAATTCCAGAGATTGAGCTATATCTGAGTAACTCAGAGCGGGGGTATTATTAGGCGCATCACCTCCCTCTACAATGCGGGTCAGCTGACTTTGTTACTTAGCTATTTGCAGTAAGGCGTGCTGAGACGGCCACTATGTTTTTTATTGCAGCAAGGCTAGCATCACCAGGAGTTTCAACGTAGCTGATTACATTCGCAATCAGGTTAGCAGTATACCCCGTTTTAGGAGTCTGGTGGTGGCTGATCTTTCTCCATCATCCGGCTCTGACAACCTTCACAGTATGTGTGCTAGATGGAGTGTCGTTGACGTTGTGTTGTTCGGTCAGATGCCATGCTAACGACCGTCCTTAGCACTGAAAATTTCAGGGTGTTAATCCTACACTGTTGTTGGAAATGAATTCATATCGCTACTGTTGTATGAAGCACGGGGCTTCTCACCTGACACTAGCTAGCCATATACATGTGTCTCAGCTGGGACTTATGAGTTGTACGGGTCGCCGGCCACTATAACATCACTTTCGTGGCCCACTGGTTTGGAATGCTGATAGCCTCAAAGCTTTTCTCTCCTCTACACCTTCCGTTCTTATTCCTCGGGTCTGAATTACGTAGTGTTCACTGGGTTACACGGGTGGCTCAGCGCAGCTCCTTCCTTCCTTCGCCATCCTTCGCGCGGTCTGTAGGCGTAATGCGATGTGACAAGCAAACCCAGTAAAGACTTTCAATCCATTGCACGGACTTCGTTCCAACTGAAGTCGTGCTTTTCTTGATTTGAGTGCACGGAATCGAATGATAATCGATCAGTGCAGGCTGGGTCGTTGTACGGTTCTGAGGATCAGCCACGTCGAGCGCAGGATGTGGAACATATTCGGGTCTTTGACCGTCGATATCTCAGAGCCGTTACGAAAAGTTAGGGCGCTTTTTGTGCTGTCCGCCTTCCAGGATGAGGTGCACGTGACGTTCTCTGTGTTCGGCTGGCGACACTGGACGACATAGCGATTAAGCAGTGATAATAGCGTTCATGTTGTCAGTTTCTATCCAGACTGTCTGACCGAGTGTTGCAGGTGTAGGCATCTGGGATGTCTTAGGTTAGGCCTAGGTCTCCTCTCTATCCTGTTTTTATTCTCTCCATTCTAAGGCCTTATTGGTATAATTTGACTGTGGTCCAATGAAGCGGAAGTGTTCTCATCTGTTGTTTAGGTCAATGATGATGTGAGTCAGTCGTATCCTTCAACGACAGGTCATTGTTTGTAAAGTCTGGTGGATGGCCTCCTTAATCTGTCTGTCTGTCTGGCTGTCTTAATCCTTGTTTCGAATTTTATATATGATGATGGTCTTTACCGCATCGACTATTCCCCTTAGTTTTCTGGATTTTTTCAGACGTTTGTACGTAGGTTTTTCTGTCACCGTTATTTTTTTATTATTGTAACAGTCTTGCAATAATTTTCGCTCTCAGAACTGACGATCTTCGCCTGGTACCACTTCCGGGGGAATCTTGAAAATATTACCAGGGAGCCTTTGGCCATTTGTAAATAGTCAAATGCCTCACATATTTGACACATGCGATAGATCGCGTTAGCCATTCAATGTGATTTTGTGGTAGCTAGTCGCACGTGTTCAACTACCCACCTAACTTGACTTTTTTGCTCCCCTTCCTTCACTGTGAATTCATTATCAACGTCAAAATCGGCAGCGCAGCATCACTGTTCAATACAGACGTTTTCCTGCTATACCTAAATCGGGGCACTAAACACAATTTTCGCTCTTAACGCTGACGCACATTGCCAGAGTTAATCGGCTATGAACTTTGGTTGTCGCGATTGTGGTGTAAGCAAATTTGCGACCTTTGCGTATTAGACTATTCACTTCAACTTAGGCGCATGCACATAGCCGAGTGATATGTACACAATTTCATGTTAATCCTACTCAACCTAATGGAGCAGTAAATTGTGGAAAGTGACACTTTGGTGGGGTCTAATCGTTTACTACACCCCATATTGTGAAGTTCACAAACTTAGATACAGCTTCGCTTGGTGATCTTTCATAATTCTCTCTGTTCATCCAGTGCTTTTCCTCGATATGTGACCAGCTGAGCAGGAAGATTGTCTTGGCGGTGACGTTGTGTTTAGCCAGTATCGGTAACAACGTAATAAAAGATCTGATAGTCGCTTGTCCACTCAAACTTTTCTATTCTTACTGGCTATTCCATCTTATCTTCATTTCAGCGATTTGCAGACCAGGACGAAGAGGTGAAAAATCACGTATATACTAAGTGCTTGGGGCTACTGGTGAGTTTTAAACAATGTATCATACTGTCTATTTCGTGTTCTAAAAGGTACTTGTGTTTCATCACATGCAATAGTTTGTACTGTTTTGAGGTGACCAGTCCTGTGGCGCTGGTGTGCCATTTTTTGCTGTGATGATGCATGGTTACTCTACCTTCTCTTCATACCGACTTGTTAAACCCGAGCACGTCTTTGGACAAGATATCCGATTTTCGTTAGTGGAGCTACGTAACATCAGTTTACACGAAATGGGCGCACAAGCTAAAGCAGTCGGCTTGCACCTCCCATCTCCTGAAATTTTTTTGAGAAGAATGTTGGTAGCTCAGGTAGAGTAAATGGTCGTTGGTTTGTTCTTTGAGTTTGGCAATTTGATTGCAACTCACTAATCGAGTTGACATCATCACTGCGTTGTTCGGGGGATGAGGGGTGGAGTGGAGCGTAGCGATGAGCCAGCACGTCCACTGATCCATCGGTGCGCATTTCGATTAACCATCTCAGCGAACAAACTAAAGACTGTCTCCTGAAGTGTTTGACTTAGAGTGGTCCATTCTGGTTCGTTCGGTGCCATTCATGCTCAACTCTTGATTTGGAGATCAAAGTTTTGTGTTTTTTCCGTTGGACGCGGATGTCAGCAGTGATTATCGTCAGTCAGTCTTGTGATTATCGTTGTCGATGCATCAACACTGTCCATAATGTCGACGGAATGGCCTCATTCTAATGGTCGACCTGCCTTGCCCGGAGTGTTTAGTCTGCCCCAGGGATCTCAAGGAGTTCATGGCTCTCTATAGTCCGAATTCTTTGCCCAATTAAAACATGAGGTTGCTTCAACCCGCTACATGCCTATTTCTCTCTCTATCAGAGATTTAACTTCCGCAAAGAATAACGGTGATAGTTATTGCTTCCATCGCGAAACAGTTTCCGCAGTTTACTACTGACTGTTCCGACTCTTACACCTTGGGTTAAGCGCACGGAAGTGTTCGGCTTTTTTTTCCGTCCTTCATTTTCCAAACGTTGTCAAGCCTATTGCGTTCCCGTTCAAACCTTGAGATTTATGATCAAACCACGCTCTTGGTCGTTGCTCGGACTCACCAAAATTCTTCCCAAATCTAAGGATTGTGAATCAGATTTCGACAACTTGGTACGCTCTTCTCATTCGTTGCGGCTGAAATCACCATAAACTTCGTTAGCACTCGCGTTTTTGTTGGTTTTATCGTCCTCTCATCGTTTGATTTCTCGCACAGAAAGTGAAAAGCCTTGTTCCGCTGAGCCGTTCCGTCAGTGAACTTTTGCATGCCAGTCTTTCTGAACTTTTATGGTCAACAAACAGCACGGTTTACGATACTACTGGCGCAAATCTTGTCCGAAGGAATTACCTGTTACATTATGATCTTCGCAAGAAGTATCAGGATATTTGCTCCATATATCTGTAACTCAGTTTGCGCCTACTCACAGTTTCTTCCCCATCTTTTGTCGTAGGCTCACCGCTATAACTCTCTCGTGGGTCTGATATGTTACATGTGCCGGAAATTCCATCCTGCTCTAGGATAATGTGGCCTACTGATTTGATTGACCGACTAATACCTAAGAGCGCCTAATCCCGAAGAGCAGCTAATTCAGCTTCATGACTATGATTGTTTGTGGCAATATAGCAGATCTGATGTCTCCAACATAACTTGGCATCTACCCAATTGTGTGTATCTGACCATCTGCATTCAAGTGTAACAAAATACCTCGGTTGTCGCTGACAGATTGGTGTTTGGCAAGTTTATGTCTGTCGTCGTCATTATCGTTGGATCTTCAGGTAAATTCCTTAGCCCAGTCCCTTAGCGATCAACTAATGTGCTGTAGCACGCCGCCATCAGTCATTTCTAGTGTTCTGTTCCCGTCAATCGAAGCGGCCTACAGCTACTACGACACATGGATGAGATTTGGACACCGGTGGACTACCAACCACAGGCGAACTGTCACATCCCAGGTTTACAAAGCAAAGACTCTGCTTCTATCTGTCCCTGTACTATGCTTCATTCTTCCAGTTTGATATATCATCATCATCATCAAGGACAGCAACATCAGTGTTGCCACTGATGCTTCACTGCCGTACAACCATGTTTGTCTATATATATATATATATATGTATATATATATATA